TGCAGACCCAGGCAGCCTGTGCCAGGGGGTGCCTGGCACATCAGCACAGAGCCCCAACTCTTAACACCTGGAGTGTTTCAGGCTGGAGGGTGCTGGTACACGCCATTTGCAAAGAAGATGGATCAACCCCCTCTAACCATGGCTGGTGGCACACATCCTTTCTGGACACAGCCACGGGCTGGTACATCCCAGTGCACCGCAGGCACTTGGGTTTGTTGATTGGGATCTTCCTCTAGCAGCTACTTGGCCGCAGCGGCTTGCAGGGGAACAGCCTTGGCCCTGACCGCCTGGAGAGCCACGGTGCCACCAGCAGAACCTACCTACCTTCAGGTGGTTGAAGGTGAGACTGCCTTTCCCACTCTCCTCTCCCCAGTCCTGGGTGCGGAGCTGGTCGAGCAGCCGAAGGCTGTCCAGACGGGGTCCCTCCAGCATGTCCACTGCCTGGAGCAGCTTCAGGATAGGGAGGTGAGTGGAGGATCTGGTGAGAGAAAGTGGGGTCCGGTAAGAGGGAGGATGAAGACCTGTATCCTCCCAACTGGGAAGCGGACGGCCGCAGTGACCCAGCGTGCGTGGAGATATCCCCTAGTCACCCACGTGGCCCCGGGCACGCAGCGTCCTGGATCCACATCCCACACCCGCCTGTGGCGAAAAGGGACCAAGTAGATTTGCAGTATAATGGGGGGATGCTGCCGAGCAGCTCCTGCCTTCCCAGAAGGGACAAGGCGGGAGGACAAGTGGGGTTGTGCTCTCCTACATGCAGCGGGGAGGGGTAGAGGCTGCCCTGGAGGAGAGGCTGGATAGGACCCCAAGGAAGGACCGAGCATCCGGCTGGACCACGTTGTGCCTGAAACAAGCCTGGGCTGGTCCAGCCAGATGCTTGGCCCCTCCTTGGGGCCCGGTAGCTGTGCTGGCAGGAGAGATGCATGCCACCCTGGCCCCCCTCCCACCTGCAGCCTGCCCTGGGAGACACCTTGTCACCCTGCTGCTGCCAGATGCCCAGACTCACTCCTGAAGCCCAACCAGGGATCTGAGAGCTTCCACCCTCCGTGCGACAGCAGTTTAGCTCCTGCGAACAATTTGAGGGGGCTCCTTCAGTTTCAGCTGCCCCATCTTTCCTTGAGCTGCCTGAAATTCGGCCGAGGTTTTTCCCCCAAAACAGGGCAGCGGGTTTGGGCATCACGAGGAGGTGACTTCACCCCTTGTTGACATGTCCCTCCGCTTTCCCATCCCCTTGCTGCCTACACCTGGCAGTGCTGCCAGCCAGGGGGGATCCCTGGGGCAGTGGGATCCCCGGGGCAGTGGGATCCCCGGGGCAGTGGGACCCCGCTGTGTGCGCAGCCGAGCCTCTCACCTCCAGCAATGGGGAGAGGCAGGGACGAAGTGGGCCTCTTCCATGGCCTTCCGGAGGCTGCCTTCGGGGAAGCCCCCGTCGCTCTGCCGTCCCTTGAGCTGGGGTGGCTCCTGCTGCCTCCTCACCACAGGGACGATGTCGAAGCGGACCGTCTTCCAGCCACCACGGATCAGCAGGGAGAGCTCCAGAGCATCTTCCTGCAGATTTTCGGCACTGAGGTCACCTAGATGCAAAGAGGGTTTGGCCACGGTTAGGAGGTTACCGCAGCCGGTCCCGCAGGCTGAACCGGGTATGTGCCGCAACGCCCGTGGGCACTTCCCACCCAGCTCGACTCATCCCTTTCCAACACCATGGTTTGGCTGCGATTCCCCAGCAAAAGCCATTCTCTAAACCCCGCTGGGATGGTTTTCGGGAAGGAGCATCACTCCAGCAGGGCTCAGAGCCCAGCGGGTGTGGGCACAGCAGGAAGCCCTGAGCAGCCGAATGGGGCCATGCTGCTGGGTAGCTGAACAGTGCCAAGAAAAACAGCATGGTCCAATAAAAATGGACCAGAAAAGGTCTCAGGTTGTGGGAGTAGAGGAAGACAAAGGTCTCTGGCTTGGCTGAGGAAGAAGGAGGGAGTGGTGGGCTTGCTGGGGCTGGGTTAAGAGACTTCCAGACCAGCTGGTCCTCTCACATCACCTTTCTATCAGGGCCGAGATTTACTTTAAGAAGCACCTTTGGAGATGGAAATGTGTGAAGAAGCCGATGAGACCCCTACAGGCATTCCTAGGGTCCCTTCCCCACTGCCTTCTTCCCGGGGATGCTGCTCCCAGCTGGGGCCCGTGTGCACACAGGGTCAGACCCACGCTTCAAGGTCCCAGTCCAGGCCTGATGCACTTCCAGCTCACCATCTAACCAGCCTCCTCCAGGGAGCAGCGGTCACTCAGAGGCCAGGAGAGATGGGGGGAATGCAGGTAGGGTGAGCCAAGCATGCCAAGTTCCTGAGCAAAGCCTCCCTGGGGACTAGGAGCTTGGGTGGGTGAACCCTGCACAGAGCTGCCACCCACCAAGGAGGGTGCCATCAGCCCAGGGAGAAGATGCTCAAGGATGACGCTGCTGCTGTGGGATGGCAGGGAGTAGTTTGCATCTTCCCTTCCTTAGCTGAGGGCAAAGCTTGTCCCAGCTCATGGCAGGGCACTGGCTCACTCGTGCAGGCTTTGGGCGGGCCATGTGCCCTAGGACTGACACCCCAGACTGTCT